CCAGCGGACGTGGGTCCGAGAACGTGTGTTTGGAATCTCATCTTTGTATTCTCGTTTAGAAAGAAGAAATTCTCACTGTCCTTCCCGATTCGCCTCTTTTCCTCTGCTTCCAGCCGATATTTTAGGGACATGTGGACCTACGAAGGTCCCAGCTCACCATCGCATCCCAGGCTGTCCTGACCGATGTACCTCCTCTGGTTGATCCAAATCTGAATCCCGGGGGAGCCCCTCCCCACAGTGAGGCTGAGTCCTCCAGGAATCAGAGCCGACTCTGCAGAGTTTGATGGTGGGAGGAAGAGAGGTGGCGTCTTCAGACGCTGTGTGCTTTCTGATTTCTTTGTCACCCTTTTTAGTCCCCTCTCCCCACCCTGGGCCAGCCCAATGAAACTCCCTCTCTGTGTTTCCCCCCAGATCCAGAGGAAAGCACTGGCCAGGTGAGGGGACACCTGCATCTTAGGCCCCAACCTGTCACTTTCTCATTGGGTCACCTCCAGCAAGCCCCAGGGCTCTGAGACGCTGTGCGTGTAAAAGGAGAAATGGAACTAAATGGTACCTGAGCCCCTGCCAGCCCCCATCCTCTCTGCTTCTAGGCATTGAGATCCTAGGGAAGCCCGTGTGACATTCCTAGTGGTCCTGACTGAGGCGGCACTTTGTAAATCCTGTCCTTCGATGTCCTGGGAAACGCTGGTGTCAAGACCAGAGGCTCCACGTGTCGCGCAGTGAAGCCCGCACTGGGCCCTGCCTGCACCCCCGACTTCAGGTCGCTATTTCGGCTTGAACAGGGGCGCCAGTGCTTCGGGGGCTCCCTGAAGGACAGCTTGGACAGGAAGCCGCCTTTTCCTAAGATAAACCAGCGAACCAAACCTCTTTCAAAGTCCCTATTGCCTTTACTTGTTTTTTACTTTCCACCAACTCTTAGCCAAATAAAATGGGCACATTAGAAACTGGGGCAGAGCTGACACTGAGGCCCGGGGGTCTCTCTGCAGAGTAACACCTGGCACCCACCGGCCTAAAAACCCGCTGCCAGGGGTCTTCTCAGAGCGAGAGAGCAGCCGGGGTAGCGGAGGACTCTGGGTGCGTCCTGTGTGCCTGCAGCGTCCTCACACTCACTCCCAGGGGGACATAACCACGTAATAGGGCCACGTGTTGTCCTTCATTCCACGTCTCTTACCCTTCGGCCTCCCGTGCTGGGAGCGCCCTTGCCGAGCTGAGTAGCCGCCAAAGAAAGAGCCGCTTCTTCCAGAGCTAGAAGGAAGCGAGGCCCTGCTGGTCATATTTCCAGCAAATATGTTGCTCAGAATATGGGCCTGCCGTGCCTGATAGCCTGCACCGCCCACCAGGAGCCAGCGGTCTGGGGACCGGGGACCAGCGTCAGTGGCCGCTCATTGAAATCTCTTTCTGGCACGTCTCAGCCTCACAGCCACAGTTCCCAGCATGGGCAGGTGCTCCCCACTCTGAGACAAGTCTGGGCATTGCCACTTCAGTGAGCATCAAGGTCTAGTCGGTCTTGGAAATCAGTGTTTCGCCTGGCACCAGGGAGGGCGCACTTCCTGCGGGCACAGTTCTGCCCATCCACCCAGCCTCCTGTGTAGGGTATAACCATAGAGCCCACTGGTTTAGCTACTGCAGCTGCACAACAAATCACCCCAACTTAGTGATTTAAAAGAGCCATTTGTTGCATGGGTCTGTGGGCCAGGGATTGGATGCGCACTGTGGGGAGGGCTGTCTCTGCCCTTCAATGCCTGGGGGTTAGCTGATGACTTGAAGGTGGAGCCTGGAGTCAGCAGAAGCTTAGCCCCTCCCGTGTCTGGCTGTTGGCAGGGACCTTGGCTGGGGTCTCAACCAGACACTGACACAGGGCCTGTCCATGGAGCTTGGGCTTCCTCACAGCATGGAGGCCAGGTTCCAGGGAACGTTATCTGAGATCCATCACCTGCTATGATTTGGCTTTGGAAGTCAGGCTTGTCGTGTTTACTATGTCCTGTGCATGGAAGGATTCCCAAAGGCTCCCCCAGGTTCAAGGAAGGGAAGCTATAAACAGTCTCTTGATGGCAGAGGCAAGGTCCCCAAGGCCACACATAGCCTCCGCCATGCCTGGGCACCGCAAGGAGGTGATCAAGGAGGTTCAGCCTAGCCCTCCAAGTTTGGGGTTAGCAGCAGGCCCTCTGCAACTTTGTCCAGCTGATAACCCTGACTCGGTCCTGTCCTGTCCTCAGTGGATGACGCAGTTTTCATCAGGATGATAGACATACGTACATCACCTGTCACTTCTCACTGTAGGTTATAAAGAAGTTCTATTCCCAGGATTCCATGTGAGAGCATTTTGGTAAAGCCATCAACCCCTCAAATAAGATCCACTGGGATCACACTCAGGATCCTCCCCATCAGGATCAGATCTGTCTGGCCAGCGAGCTGTGGCTTGTGCAGGAGCTTGGTAAACATTTTGCGACTTGGACAAACAGCCCCGTGAGAGAACACCAGGCGGGTCCTCTGCTGCTGGTCAGGGAATCTTGAGCCCCCTGAGTCTGTTTCCTGTGCCTTGTGTCTTTTTAACCTTTAAATTTTTTTAAAAAAATTATTATTCAGATGTATTTTTGCCATGCTTTTTCATTATGGCTTGAATTACTGTTTTCGTAACTTCTTTCTTTATTATGTTTTAGAGATGTGGAAAATACAACAAAGTATACAGAAGAAAATAAAAATTTTCTATAATACTGCTGCTCAAAATAATAATCGTTAATAGTTTAGTGCTTTGCCTATTTGAGTATTTCTTCATCATTAAGTATTCTTGTATTAAAAATGATTTTAATGGCTAAGTATAAATCAAATATACCAGAATTTTTTGACCATGATCTTTATTGTTGGACATTTATTTCCTCTTTCCAGTACTTTTTTAAAAAAATATATGTTTTTATTGATATTAGACAGAGAGGAAGGGAGAGGGAGAGAGAGAGAGAGAAACATCAATGATGACAGTCATCGATCAGCTGCCTCCTGCACGCCCCCTACTGGGGGTAGAGCCCACAACCCCGGCAGGTGCTCCGACCGGGGATGGAACCAGCAAGCCTTTGGAGCCCAGGATGACGCCCAACCAACTGAGCCACCCTGGCCAGGACCCAATACATTTACTACAGTTACTTTTGTATTATTAAAATACCATTTTCATTTAATGCATATGATAAACATTTTTCATACTTAAAGGCTTAATAAAAATTATTTCAATTTAAATATATCCATTTTGTTCTTGAGCTATTTCAGGAAGTAAAATTATTGGATCATAGGATATAAACAATTTAAAATTCAGACCACATACCGTGAAATTGCTCTCCCAAACTCACACAACCTGTACATAATTTTAAAAGGAAAAAAGGCAGGGGTTATATGTTTGGGGAGAAAGGTAAAGACATATTTTAAATGATTTAATTCAGCTTTGATTTATATTTGTTTTAGCCTTGAAATGAGCATTTGATTCCATTTCAGTGTTTTAAATTCCCTGGCTGCATGTTCTGACTCTGTTTTTTTCTGTCCTTAAGTGTATTCTCCGTCGTATATATTTTCCCACTAATACTGTCTCCTCCTTCGTGTGCGACTTGTGGTTTGGCCACTGTCAGTCATTTCCCCAGATGTTCTTTTCCTGAGCGTCTCATTTATCTGGAGCGTGACTGTGGTGCTGCCCATTGCCCAGTGTCCCAGCTTCCCTGTGGCCGGTCCACCCTGTAGCTCCACAGCTTTGCATGAGGAACGTTACTGCTTTTAGGATCAGTAAAATGTAAAAGCATGTGTGATTTTCACCTGCTTGCTGTCTTCTCGTCACTGCTACAGCAGTTACGCAGCACTTCACACGCCTGCCTGGTCACTGCTGTCCATTTGTCCTCAGATTGTAAGCTGTCAGGTCAATGATGTCCATTTGTCCTCAGATTGTAAGCTGTCACTAGATTTCTTTTCTTTTGTATATGCATTTACCTGCAGTACATTAGATGTCTCCAATATTTACAGTATTATGTATAGTTCCCATTAGCACTGTTTTATTCTAATATGGTTGGCCATTTGGGATAGAGACTTTAAAGCATTCTGGAGTTACTAAACTGAATGTTAAATTATATATCTGGATTTAATGATTATTCATAGACTCCAATTATAATGTTATATAATCATGATCTCAAAGGAGTTTTTAACAGTGAGTGTCACCACACCTGGGAGTTTTGTTATTGTTGGGTAGTAATTATAGCTTTTGTAGTAACTCTGTAGTATAGTTTGAATATATATCTTTTTTTAAATTCTCACCCAAGGATATGTTTTTATTGATTTTTTGAGGAAGAGGAAGGGAGAGAGAAAGAGAGAGAAACATCGATGCAAAAGAGAAAGCATCTATCAGCTCCCTCCCTTTCTCATGCCACCAGGAATCAAACCTGCAACCTTTTGGTGTATGGGATGATATTCCAACCAAGTGAACCACCCAGCCAGGGTGAATATATACATATATATATGTATATATATATTTTTATTTTAAATATATTTTATTGATTTCAGAGAGAGGAAGGGAGAGGAGAGAGGCAGAAACATCAATGATGAGAGAGTCATTGATCGGCTGCCTCCCACACCCCCTGCTGGGGATCAAGCCCGCAACCCGGGCATGTGCCCTGACCGGGAATTGAACTGAGATCTCCTGGATCATAAGCCGATGCTCAACCGCTGAGCCAGGGCCAGCTGGACTGGATATGTATTTTAATTATTTTCCTTATGTAAAATTCTTTTTAGTGTACCTACTAAGACTTTACGATTAGTTGGGGAAATGCTACTTTTACGTTTGGTTAAGTTTAAATTCTGAGCTCACTTTTTGCTGCTTATTAATTTATCTATCATATTTTTCATTGAGATACAACTGGCCTATAACGTTGCACAAATGTAAGGTGTACAACGTGCTGATTTGATACATTTATATGTTGCATATGATTACCACTGGAGCTTATAATTTGTCTTTTTTTCCCCTCTCTGTCCAGGAATCTTATGTCCTTTCTGCAGAACTGAGAGAAAAATGCGAAGCCATAGGCAAGAAGTTACTGTACTTGGAAGACCAGCTTCACATGGCGATCCACAGTCACGATGAAGACCTCATTCATATCCTTTCCATCGCTCAGATGAAACACCTGTCAGGTGGTTTTGTCAAAGCAGGTTTCAAAAAATACCCAGTTGTTCCACCCCTCGGCAGATGGAAGCAAGTAGGGCCCCTGGCATTTATAGTTCGGCACACCCAGATCTCTGAGATTAGACGGCGTGCAGTGTTTCCTCTTTGGTGTTTGGTAGGTAAGTCAGCATTTTTTATTAAACCTGACCACCTGGCCCACATGGCACAGGGGTTGAGCACCGACTCATGAACTAGGAGATCTCAGTTCGATTCCCGGTCAATGAACATGCCCTGGTTGTGGCCTTGATCCCCAGTACGGGCGTGCAGGAGGCAGCCGATCAATGACTGTCTCATTATTGATGTTTCTATCTCCCTCTCCCTCTCCCTCGCTCTTTCTGAAATCAATAAAAACACAAAAAAACACCCCCCCAAAACCCAAAACAAACCTGACCACTGAAAATTAACCTCAAAGTTTGGACGTGCTCACAATGAGACCAGAGCAGAATGCAGTTTTCAGGGATGTTGAGCTGAGTTTGTGGGGCTCAGGCGGTGGCGAGTCTGACTGGCTCAGTTTTCTAGGGATTTTTTCAATACCAAGGAACCCAGATCCCTGTTGGGTTTTCTTTACCATATAATTCTCCATGTCCCAGGCAGCGGGGCAGCGCGACTCACAGGACTTTGGCTAATTTCTGTGCAGTTTCTTCTTACACAAGGCTCAGTATTCACATGTGCAGATACCTGCATTAGAATTAGCTGCCAGTGAGCCAGGTGGCATGAGGACACATGGCTGAGGTGCCCCTCATTGATCTGTGGGCGCATTTTGTCGCTGGTTAGCTCCTTTGAGGGCAGGCAGGTGGGTGCGCAGGCGGACAAAGGGACATGCGGCCCCACCCTGTAGCTTCTCAGTTATTTGATCGCAAGTTGACACCTGAGATAAAACACTTCTCCGTTCGCTCATCCTTTCTGCTCAGCAGCATGTCTTTTCTGAGATGTATTTGTGCGAAATGTAGCTCTTTTGGCCATTGCTTCTCTATCTCACCCTTCAGAATTCCAGTTCTTATCATAATCTTGAGAGTGTGTGTGTGAGTGTGAGTGTGAGTAGCCTTGAATGGTCAAGGATGAATCTTAATCATAAGTGTTCAGACCCACAGTCCAGTGATGGACCCAACACTGTTTCCTTCCTTGTTACAACCTTAAATCTTTGACCTTGCTTAGGAAACTTAGCAGGAAGTTCCTTCAGCTTAATCAGCGGTTATTTTCACATTGCTCAAGGTAGATTTTAAAAGTAGACACTTTGTAATTTCCTGCCTCTTACAAGACTAACATCTAAGCTATTATTAGGAAGTTGGCCAAGGCAACAGTAGAACTTTTGTTTATTCTACGCTCACAGAACACATGGATTCGAGCACTAATAAGGGGCCGTGGCCCCGGCACATGGGCAGGTGACTGTCTGTGGCCGGGCACGTGCAGGGCGCCCGTGTGGGGGGAGGGCTTCCTGGCGCCCAGCCCAGCAGGTGTGTGGCGGGGGACTTTCCTCAGGGACGTCCCTCAGGCTCGAGATGGGGTCAGGAAGCAGTTCTGAGAGCTGCAGTCAGGGCCCATGTGGGCCTCTTGTTTAGAAATTTTCTAGAAGGTTAGTTTGATTCCAGGCCATTGGGTTTTCTCCTTAATGGGGTTGGTGGTGGGGAGGAGCCTGAGAGGGACAGAGCTGTGTGTAAACAAGGTCCTTTCAGTTGTCCCACAGCCTGTCCAGTCCACGTGCAGTAGCAGGGGGGTCACGGGCAGTTTCTAAGCCTCTGTGAGCATCAGCTTCCTCATCTGTCACATCAGATAATAACCGGTCCCCCTGAGGTTTTTCTGGGAGCTAAATGAGGCTGTGTTGCGAACGTATGTTTAACGTAGTTCTCAACCGTGGTAAGCACTTGGTTTTAGGTAGAAAACTAGATTCTCTAAGTCCATTTGCCTCGCCATTCTCAGCATCTACGCCACAACCTCAAACCACATCCCATAAGAGGTTTCCAGGTAAGCGGATTCAACTGTTTTGCAACAAATGCTTAAAGGGAATTGATCAGTAACCACACAAAGGCTTATAGGAAAAGTCACTTAATTCTAATAAACTGCTGTGGGTAGAGAGGGATTATGATCCCTACTGGATGGTTGAGAAAATGGAGGCTTAGAAATTGTGTGGCTGGTCCAGGGTCATTTCTAACCAGTGGCGGAATCTTCCAGCGGCAAACCCCGGGGCCTACTCTGACCATCAGGAGACAGCTCTGCCTGTAAGTAAAGAAAGGGACAGGCCCATTCTGTGGACACACAGTTACCATAAACATTTCAAGCTATAATAAAAGCATTTTATTGAAGTCATGTTTTTTGAGAACGTTGCTGATCCTTGCTGAGATAGTTGGGGACATACTAGGACCATGTCAAACCAGGGTTGGGAAGCACTGGTTTGGTCGACCCCTCCCTGCTCAGATAAAGTCTACACCACAGTCTGGATTTCAACCCAGACTCTGAAGCCTGGGTTTGTTCCATGTCACTGACTAACAGTAAATACAAGGAAGGTGACTTTGACCTCATAGAAGGCAGGACCCCAACGTGAATGGGACCTGGTGTCCCAAGACAGGTATTTATGAGACTCCCCACAGGCAGCCTTGTTTATATTAGGACTTACCTAGGGACCCAGAGAGGCTGCTGATCCCCCGGCCAAACACCTGAAGGCCCAGCCTTCAGGAAGACAGATCGGTGGAGGGGAAACAGCCACGTCTCTTCGTCACCCTGGCAGCTCACTGAATTCCAGGTAAAACACAACCCACCAGCCACGCGGCTGCCAGTGTCTGGAGTCTGCTCCATTCACTGGAGGCACTGGCCTGGGAGAGGAGACAGCCTGGTGTCTGAGGACAGGGTGGGAGGTGTGACTTCGCTGCCGGTCAAGCCCGATGTCCAGATCATTCGTCAGAGTCTAGCACAATTTCACAGTCATTTTGGGTCCTAATTGGCAGTTAGGTTTTGAGAAACATTTTGAGAGTCTGATGATTCCTTTGTGTTCCAAACACTGAAGAAACCATGTAGGCTTGGTGGATTTCTAAACAGGATTTTTCTCATTTTTCATCTTTGACCTCTACTGCATACTGTTGAGGGAAAGGAGCGCATGCAGGATTGGGACACGTCTGGAATATTTGAAGGCCCTCAGGGCAGTTCTGCCCGCCTCTGAGTCATAGCAGAGATAGGGACACACTGCTCTATTCGTGGTCTTATTTGCAGCCATGTCCAGGAAGCCCTGTGGAAGTCTGTGCTCCCTGCTCACTTGGAACCCGTGGGGCCCAGTGGATTAGTGCTGGTGGTGCTCAGTATGCAGTGCTCTCAATGCACCTAGGAGCCTGCCCCCCCCTTAAGGACCCTTGTTTGGGTCAACTTTCCAATTTGTAGCTTGAACAGACTAAGTAACAGTTTCGGGCAGTTGCTCTGTCTCCTGGGGAATGTTTTCTGCTTCTAGAGCTAAGGGCTGGAAGAGGAACCATGAGGATCATGGATCTGCATTCTTGAGTTTTATAAATGAGCAAACCAAGACCCTAAGAGGTGGTTGTCTAAGGCATTGCGTGTGCCCGGCTGATGCCGGTCTGGTGGCCACGGCCCTTTTGTTTGGCTCCCAGCAAAGGGAGTGGGGGCCCCACAGTGGGGAGAAGGGGACGCCTGGGAGAGGGTGTGGACAGTGTGGCCTCAGCGCCAGGCGGGCACCACAGAGTGCCCCGTCCAAGCACCACATCCACGAAGCAGGGGGTGTGGGCAGGCTTTCCTCTTTGCTCTTGAGCAGTTGGGCTCCTCACTTTTTCTTGCCGTGAAGGTAATTTTCCCAGGACCGCAGGTCACGGTGGCTGCAGAGGAATCTGTTGATATGAAGTAATTAGTGAATATGTAGCAGTGTCAAAGGACGTCCTGTTGTTTCTCTTTGAACCAAACTGGGTCAGATGAACTGAAGACCTACTTTTGACTCACCTGTTAAAACGATCGCTTGGAACCCCAATTAACAGTACAACACAGTTGTTCTTACACATAAACAGAAGTCCCCTTTGAAAGAATCTGAGGAGCTTGGCTAACAGCCGCCCTAAATGACAGCATTGCCTTCCCCCTGTATTCCTGGGCGAGTCCTGTGAGGCGATTTGCTGTCCTAACCCTTGACTAATTACGAACAGAGTTTGTACAATTTTCCTGTCAAGAAGTTAGGCACTTGCTTAATATGCACATAGTCTGTCCTACGGTCTTGGGTTCCAAAGGTGGTTTAAAGATGCTGGCGTGTCTGTCCTTGTGCCGTTATTGTAATTGATGTGCCAGTTTTCTTGGGTGCCACAGACCTCTGGCAGCGTATCTGTTACAGGGAACTTTATACTCAGCTGTGGAGGTTTCTGTGGCACAGGCGTCCCTGGAATCAGTCCGCTCTTTTGAGACCTGCTCCTGGATGGAGCGAGCACCTCTCTCCTGTACACCTGGAATTGCAGTGCGCAGCTACTGTGTGGGCTCCGCCCCGTGACAAAAATCAAGGTCGGCTATGTCAGCGGGCTTCAACTATGAGCTTATTGGACTAGCAGTTAGAAGGTCTAGTCCTACTCTACTACTTAGCAGCCTTAAGATTTTGGTAGGATGGCTCACATGGGATCCAGTGAGGACAAGTGAAAATATTTTTAGAAGCAAATTTTTTCAGTTGGCCTCTGAGTGCCTTTCTGCAGCCTGGGCCCTCGCCAGCCTCTGATCCACGTCTTCCTCTACTCACCGCCTCCACTTGGCTGACAAGTAGGCTTTTCCAACTCAACATGTCCAAAATAAAATTCCTCCCCGCGCTCAAAAAACCCGAGTCCCCCCCCAGCCCTCTCCTTCTCGATAAGTTGCAAGTGTGTTTTGCTAGTTCTTGCTCGGATAAAAAATCTGGGAGCCCTTCTACAGGCCTTTTCCTTCCCTCACCTTCCACGTCCGGCCCATCCCCGCGTCCTGCCGGCTCTTTCTTCCAAACACCCAGAATCCGGCCACCTCTCGCCACCACCGCCACCCCGCTGGGGCCCGCACCCGAGCTTTCCTTGTCTGAATTATCGCCACAGCGGCGGGGG